GACAGAAAAGTCATAGCTTTGTCATGCTCTGGATTTCCCTTTGAGTCCCAAGTGCTGTCTTGGGGACCTCCAAGACAGTGTTACTTTTTATTTAGACAAAAAGGAGGAAATGTTGTGTGATATTTTGATTGTGTTCTGACAAATAAAACTTGCTTGAAGTTAGAGGGTGGAGCCACCATTGGCTGACCATAGAGGTTTGGAGGACTATAGAGAGAGGAGACAGGAATTGGTAAGGTGGGGCAAAGACAGAATCTCATCCCTTTTGCATGGAGGAAAGGCAGAGATAGGAAGCTACTGGCAGTTGTTCCTGGTTCTCTGATCTTTCAGGTTATTACCCAGTACTTGACTCCTGATTTTTATTGATATAGATTGATTAGATTAACACATCAAAAAAGTGTAATCAGGATATATTATATGAGAAAAAATCCACTTTTAATAAAAGGAAAAAATGATATACCCATATAGATACAAGAAGCACACAGAACATAAAATATGACAGAAAAGAAACTCCCCATAACACAAGATAATTAAAACACTAAATACACAGAACAAGAAAGGGTATTGCAAGCTGCTAAGGAAATGCCACAATCATATATGAAGGAAAACCCATCAGAATAACAGCTGACTTCTCAATGCAAACTTTATATAACAGAAGACCCTGGAATAATGTGCTCAAAATTCTAAAAGATTAATGATGCCAATTCAGATTCTTTACACAGAGAATCTATCTTCCACAGCTGAAGGAGAAAGAAAAACTTTCCAATATATTTGCAGGATCTAAGCCTTCATGTCCACCAAACCAGCCCTTCAGAGAATACTGGATACAATACTTCAGACTGAAGACAGGAATTTACATAAAAGCAAGACTTTCCAGAAAAGAAAACTGCAATTGCTGAAACACAAAATAGGGTTATTATCACAAACAGAGATGGCAGCTATCAATAAGACCTTTCAATAATAACCATAATATTAATGTATCAACTCATCAAAAGGTACAAACTAGCTGAATGGATTAAGAAGCAAAATTCTTTGTATGTGTGTGTGTGTAAGTTGTTTGTGGTAGGCATTTGTGTATGCATGTTTGTGTATTTGTATGTATGTATTTGTGTATGTGAGTATGTTTATTTATTTGTGTGTATGTTTGTGTTTTTGTGCATGTGTGTATGCTTGTGTGTGTTTATGCATGTGTATTTTTGTATATATGTGTTTATGTGTATGAGTATTTATGTATTTGTGTGCTTGTGTGTGCTGTGTATGTGTGTGTGCAAGTTTATGTGTATGTGTGTTGGTGTTTTTGTAATGTGTGTATTAGTATATATTTATGTGTGTGGGTTGTGTGTGTTTGTGTGTATGTATGTGTATAATATGTTTGTGTTTGCATATATGTATGTGTGTTTATAATTGTGTATAGACAGACTTTCTCTGTGTTTCAGCAGCTGCTCCCAAATAGCCACACAGAAACTTAATATTAATTATAAATGCTTGGCCTATAGCTCAGGCTTATCTAACTAGCTCTTACAACTTAAATTAACTCATTTATATTAATCTAAATTTTGCCATGTGGTGATTCCTTTCTTCCATCTTGCATCTCCTGTTTTCTTTCCATGTCTGGCTGGTGACTACTTTGACTCTGCCCTCCTTTCCAGCATTGTCTCTGCCCCAAAAATCCTGCCTAGCCATTGGCCAATAAGCTTTTTATTATCAATGTGAGAAATACATATTTACAGTGTACACAGATTATTCCACAGTGTTTGTGTGCATATGTATGTGGGTTTGTGTGTGTATATGTGGGTGTATATATTGTATATACCTGTATATATTGGTATATATGTATGCTTGTGTATGTATATGTGTGTTTGTATATGCATATGTGTATACGTATTTTTGTATATATGTGCATGTGTATGTATATTGTTTATGTTTGTGCCTTTGTGTGTACGTATGTGTGTTTTTTGTGTATACATTTGTGTATGTGTGTTTATATGTATGTGTGTGTTTGTGTAAAATAAGACTTAAGAGTAGATTATGGAAGTTTTAGTTAGGCTTACTAATACTATAATGAAATTCCATTACCAAAAGCAAGTTTGGGAGGAAAGGGTTTATTTGGCTTATAGTTCCACATTGTAGTCTATCACTGAAGAAGTCAGACAGAAAATCAAGCAAAGGCAGGAACCTGGAGGCAAGAGCTGATGCAGAGACCATGGAAGGGTGCTGCTTACTGGCTTGCTCAGCTTATTTTCTTATAGAACACAGCTCAGGGATGGCACTGCCCACAGTGGTCTGGGCCTTCCTCCATCAAACACTAAGACAATGCTTCACAGGCTTGACTACAGATTGATCTTATGGGGGCATTTTCTCAATTGACATTTTCTCCTTCATGATGACTATATCTTGTGTCAAGTTGACATCAGAACTAACCAGCATAAAAGATTAGGGAGGGAGAGGGAAGTGGTAGACTTGAAGTGAGTGAGGAGAGGCACTCTGAGAGGAGTTTAGGAAATGCCATGTTCCTAAACAGATGTAATTTCTAAATATTTAAAAAATATATATCCTTATACCCACACATGAAAATAGCTCTCACCCTTCATCAGGAGTTTTTTTTTTTGCAACAGATGGAGAAGATTTCAGAAATCCAAAGCTGGGTGAAAATGCAGATAATAAGGGTCTGTGGGCTGTTCAATCCAATAAAGTTTAGGGGAAATTACAGAAGAGGAGACAGAAAGATTATAAGAACCAAAAGACAACGATGTTGGCTATAAGATAGTATCTTTGATACATGACAGGAAGCTGTACCCGTGAACTCTCAACAATATTATTTTCTGAACAAGACTGACATGACAACACCAGTTGACATGGCAACATGAACAAGAAATTTCCACATAGTCTCATTCACTAGATGAAAGAATTATGTGCGGTAAATATCTGGTGAGAGAGGAGAATCAGTCTTCTCCAGGTACAAGCTTCACAGAGGTTATCCAATATCAAGTCGTTAACCCTCAATACCTGGGCATACAAGCAAAGCTAAACAGACCAACAAATTATAAGCAGTTATGGGGACCTTGCTGGAAAGGTAGCACAGTCTCCTTACTGAGAACATAGTTCTGTAGAGATGAACAATGCTGACTCTTCAAATCTGTCATCTGTCTACATGTGTATATATGTAAGAATTATCTATTTATCTAACCTATCAACTATCTAATTATCTATATATTATCTGTCATCAATTATGTATCATCATCTAGAAAATCACAATTTTTCCCTTAAAATCTGATATTTTACACTAAAATCAACACTAATTATGAGTTGGCTGTTTGAAAGTTGGGGCTTATGCAGGGTCGCTTGGCTCGACCTGGAAGGAGGGTACTGGACCTGCCTGGACTGAGTCTACCAGGTTGATCTCAGTCCTCGGGGGAGGCTTTGCCCTGGAGGAGGTGGGAATGGGAGGTGGGCTGGGGGGGAGGGGAGGGGGCAGGAGGGGGGACAACAAGGGAATCCGTGGCTGATATGTAGAACTGAATTGTATTGTAAAATAAGATAAAATAAAATAATAATATAAAAAATAGGGAGAAAGGAATTTCAATGCATTTTCTCACATTTCTGGTAAATTTGAGTATTATAATTGAGAGTCTAATCTATTTTTATTTAAAAAAGTATAGGCATTGGAGATTCATAGGTAGAAGATTATAATAGTAATATAAATAAGGGGTACATAAGTGTCCCCGCCAGAGGGATCTTCAGCAGAGACCCTAGAAGGAAGAATGGCGAATGAAGGGACAAGAGACACAAAGAATTGACAGCAAGACAGTATTCTGATCAAGCTGCAAAATTTTATTTTTCTCAGGTGGGTTTTATAGAAGCAGACCAGGAAACTTTCTTTGGGAAAAGATCAGGGGACTGTTGAGTTGCCAGGCAACCCAACCAAGCAACCTAACCACAAAACACTGTTACTAATGGTCACTGTAGCAGAAAGATAAGGAAATGTTATTTTTTAATAACTCACATCTTGTCCAGGCATGTCAAAAGTTTCTGGTTGGTGGCTCAATACTGGACAACAGAAACTTAACTCAGGCAGTCAATATGGCATGGCTCTTGAAATTGTCCTCGGCACATAAGGAGAATTTAAGTTTGCTAAATCTCCTTTTCAATTACTTGTATTTAATGAGACAATAAAACTTATACCTAATACAAATATGAAATACACTGATTTGTAAATATATATCATAGACATAAATATAAAATTTACAGGGACATTCATGCTTCTTAGGAAGTGATCTGTCATTTTGCTCTATAGATGAATTATGTGGGAATGATTCTTGGTGCTGCTCTCCTTGTTTGAAAGCACTGTCTTTCCTAGCAACTGCTGTTCAGGTGGAACTTTCTCTTTTTCCCACCCAGAGTGGAAGATGCAGGGGAGGGGTTTGGAGAAGCTCCCCTGAGTCGTTGCTGTTCTCCCAGTGGATACAAGTTTGTTCACTTTTCTAAAAGACCTTGCAGTTCCAGTAATAACACTCACTCCACACCCACTCCAGGGTGTTTTGCATCTCTCTGTCTTCTCAGCATTGTTGTAAGGAAGAAGCCATGCCAAGAGGACCGTCATATCTCTGCCGTGATGGTATGCCTATGCTTCTATCCTTAGCAGCTTCTCTTAAAATTTCAATAGCCAGGCTAGTTTATTTTCTCAGTATGTTTGTTTCTCCAATGTTGGGTAATCACAAGAAATATCATTCTTTACACAGAGTTTCTCCATGTGACTGGGTTTGTGGTCTGTCTTCAACAAGCAGCATTCTGTGTCTTTTTCTGCAATCTCTATAGATTTCTGTTGTTGCTGTTGTTTTGAGACAGACAGGATCTGTAATCCAGGCTGTTTTCAGACTTGTTATCCCCCTGAGTCAACTTTTTACATGCTGGGAAGTGTGTACCAGTGGTATCACAGAAGTTAATTGTAGTGTTCTCCAGTCTTTTTTTCTGTTTGTGTCACTGCTTCTTTGACTGTATTTTAGCTTTTGAAGAATGCTATTATGTCATGCTTCATTTTCCAGTTTTCCTAGGCATTGCATCATCACTCATCTGCCTTGATGCCTACAGTGATAGTAATGAAGAAGATATTGGAGCCAAATGAAGGAAAATGGATACTATCTGAAGCTCCTCGGTACTGATGAGGGAAGTGGGATGTACTACAGACAGAGATACAGAGGGTGAGGAGGAATCTTGTGGTGTAGATTAATTTATATAACCTCATTGTCTGTTCTGTAGCACAATAGGAATATTTCTAATGATTTTTTTGTACATGGATAAAATAGACACACGTTTGCAGAATATTTACTGCACCTATTACACCTGAAAGCAATCTATACAATATCTAAACTGCTACCACAGTACTTAGAATGAGTTCAATGCATAGAAAATATTCATTAATGGTAATAGGAATTATTGAAATGAGAAATGAAGGGATGTGTGTCTAATTTTACATTTATGCATTAGTGTTCATTTGTGTTTTCATGTAAAAGAGAGCATTTATGACCATGTTGAAGAAAAATGATCACCGTTCTTAGTACAAGGTATTTAGGGGGGGGGTAATTCATTCTATTACATAAGTAGGTGACTCATAACTTAAGGGAAGAATCTTGAAAATAAGAATATATCCCCATACAGAATTTTTATTTCAACATATTTAGTATCATTCTTATTTTTTACCAGCTTGAATTTTAGCTTGCAAAGAAATTCAGTAGCTAAATTTTAATAAGTAGACATGTAAAACAATGCAAATAAAAGTATCTTTGTTTTGATGACACACTTGAAAATGCAATGTTTCTTTTAGCATCAACTACAGAGAACTTCCAGCTGCCATGTGTAAGGTTCTTAGGTCCTAGATGAAGTTCATCTGAGATGTCTTGGACAATGTATTATTTCTTGTGAAGAAAATGATAAACAAAGTCATCAGTGATTGTTGATGTTTGATTGACATTGTGTGTGGAAGTTCATAATAATTATATTTTTAATTTTCAAGAATCACATAGACATGGTCTTTTAGAAGATCACAATACTAAACCTTCAGCAGTACAGTAGAACTTGGAGCGTCTCCTGGTGACAATGAAGGCTATTGTACAGGACACATTATTAATCATTTTAGGTATGGAAATCATTATAGGAAGTTTAGGAAATGGATTCATAATACTGGTGAACATCTTAGACTGGGACAAGAGAAAAAAGATCTCTTCATTGGATAAGATCTTCACTGCTCTGGCCATCTCTAGACTTGCATTTTTATGGTCACTATTCTTATTTTTATTGGTATCTGAGCTGTACCCATCCTTAATGATAACTGAAAAAGTACTGAAAATAACTAGTATTTTTTGGACACTGACCAATCATTTCAACATCTGGCTTTCTACATGTCTCAGCATATTTTATTTCCTCAAGATAGCCAACTTTTCAAATTCTATTTTTCTTTATTTAAAATGGAGAGTAAGAAAGGTTGTTTCAGTGACACTGCTGGTGTCTCTTCTCTTCTTGTTTATAAATATTATATTCATAAACTCATATGTTATCAGGATTGATGGATATAAGACAAATTTGTCCTACAGTTCTAATTCAAATGACTATGTACAGTTTTCTAGGTTTCCTTTACTCACTAACACTATGTTCACATTAATACCCTTCACTGTGTCCCTGACAACTTTTCTCTTGCTCATCTTCTCCCTGTGGAGACATGTAAAGAACATGCAGCTCAATGTCAAAGACTCCAGAGACCCCAGTACTACAGCCCACAAAAAGGCCCTGAAAATGGTAATCACCTTCCTGTTTCTATATACTATTTTCTTTCTGGTACTTGTTATACAGTCTTGTAAAAATGAGATTCAGCATAAAAATTTGTTCAACTTACTTTTGGATGATATAGCAATTGCTTTTCCCTCAGGCCACTCCTGTGTCCTAATTCTGGGAAACACTAAGCTCCGACAGGCTTTTCTGTCCATGATGTGGTGGTTGAGGTGCAGGCTCAGTGATGCAGAGCCTCCAATCTTTAGACTATGTAGGGAGTTATCTCCAATTTTCTAGAGAAGGACCTGTTCTTAAGAGATTCTGTATGCTTACATTTGTACTTATAATTTATTCTTCAGTTGTAGCTTTGTGAATTTTACAAAATTCTGTTTTTCTATTTTTTATTTTTTTATTATATTAAGAAATTTTCTGTTCATTTTACACACCAAGCATAGGTGCTCCTCTCTTCCTTCTTTCCGCTCCCCAGTATTCCCCCCAACCCACCCTCCATTCCCACCTCCTCCAAGGCAAAGACTCTCATAGGGAGTAGCAGAGTCTGTACATTCAGTTGAGGCAGGTTCAAGTCCCTCCCCCTGAACCAAGGCTGTGTAAGGTGTCCCACCATAGGCACTGTGCTGTAGGATGCCTTTCTGTATGCTGTGAATATGTGTTGCTATGATTGGTTGATAAATAAAGCTGCATTGACCTATGGCAGGGCAGGATGGAGTCAGGTAGAAAAGTCCAAGAAAGATAGTGGAAAGAGAAAAGAGAGGAAGGAGATGCTGCAAGCCATTGGCAGGAGAAGCAAGAAGTGAAAATACCCATAAGCCATGGCCATGTGGCAACTTATAGATTAATAGAAATGTGTTAATTTAAGATAAAAGAGCTAACTAGCAAGAATCGTGAGCCATAGGCCATCTAGTTCATCATTAATATAAACCTCTGTGTTTTCTTGGGTCTGAGCTGCTGCAGGACTGAGTGGGACACAGAAAAAGTTCCAGCTACATTTGGCATTCACCACTGGGCATTGATCTACATTGACCAAAGAAAGCATAAAGATTCTGAATGCATAGAAATGGAGCCACATTTAGCTTCCTGGTCTCACACTCTCATGCCAGCAGCAGCACAGACTCTTCTCTGACAGCTGCTTATGAGATTGAGCTGGCTGCCAGTCATCATAAACTAAGCAGTATGTCAGATTCCAGCAGCTGTACACACTAGTGTCTCCAAGCTGCAAGGGAGCTGCATGGTGGATTTACCTTTTCCTAGTACATATTAAAAAAAAGAAGTTTCTGGGCAATACAATGCTTCTTGGGGACATATACACACTGCTTCCTGGAGTTGGCAGTAGGCATACTTCTACCATGGTGAGAAGCTGAGATGGGTGGAGTCAGTAGCCAAGGCTGCAGCAATGGTCCTATCCATGCAGTTTACAGTTTAAAATCTCTCCTTGTCAGAGAACGTTTATAGATTCACAATGAGACGGATTCAGATGGAATAAAACTCTAAATGGTTTACAGTATGTGTAAAAATGTACATAGGCTTGAAAGAGAGAGGAAAAGGAGGATAGTCAGTTATATAAAGAAACAGTTTTAAAAAATAAAGTCTTTTAAAGAGACAGAAAAAGTAATATAAAAAATAAGCCATGTAAAGATGGATTTACAGTCTGGATTATATTTAACTGCTGAAAGACATTTGATTGCAAAGGCTGCTGAGTTAAGCCTATATATATATATATATATATATATATATATATATATATATATATATTTTAAAAGTATTTTGACTTCAAAGTTTGTGTCTAGGGATATGTTGCTTTGGAAAAGAGGTTCTGCTTTTGTTTCCACAGAAGATGAGAACCTGTGGATTGCTTCCAGGCTCATATGGTTTGATCAGCCAAGATACCCTGAAAGGTCTCCAATGACACCATTGCCCAGACAGGCTTCAAGGCAACTGGCTCAGACAATGCAGCCTCACAGACTATTCCAGTCAGGACTTGACCATATTCTTAATTTTCTCAGGATCCCCATTAGATTGCCACCAGCTCCATTCAGCAGGAAGTAGTATGAGAAGCTCTGCCCCAATTCCACAAATATTGTTTATAAATGTTTATTTTTAAAGGGGGTTGATTATAAATACAATCTCTAAAAAAAGAAAAGGGGATTTTTTATATATATATATTATATATATATAATATATATGATAAAAGGTAGATTATTGAATCTACTTTTAAAGAGAAACAACTTGCTTAAAATGTTTTACATTGCTATAGATTTGTTTATTACAAATTTAAGTTAATTTTGTTACACTGCATATATATATATTTCCACTCTAATTTAAGTTATTTAGTTTATATAACTAATTTAAATTGTAATGGATAATTAAGAAATACAGATTAATAATTAGTCATCCATGATAATCAAACTTATCATCATGTTAATTAACTTTTCTAAGTATACACAGATATATTTCAATTATGTAGGCAATCTTCAAACACTTCAAAGACCTACAGAATATGGCATGTAAAATGTTTTAAAAACTTAGACTTTCTGGACACTGAAACATGTCTGCTCCTGGCACCACCGATTTACTTCAAAGAACAAGATGGGCATTGAAGACACTCTATATGGAGTTTAATTTCTTGGCAAAAAATAGCCATTTGGGTAAGAAACTGCTCTTAACTGAACTGCTGATAATATGGTATATAAACTGGACATGCAGGACCCAGAGGAAGGTGACCACTGAACTTTGCAAGGTGATATGGTTCTTTAGGTTCCTGCTTTGCAGAAGAGACTGCCAAATATTCTACAGGACACAGGGAGTAGCTACTAAAAACTCTAGGCCTATTGGCTGAAGATGGATGCCCTAATGTTACAGATGGACTTTGGATGACTGTCCAGGCAGGCAGCTGTTCCTGTCATATCCAGAATTTTGGAAGTTGCTTACAACACATTTCCTTTTTACTTAGGTAATATTATATTCTTCTGGGTTCTTTGATATAGTTGAAGACTAGCTAGTATAATTATAATTTTCCTTGGTTATCATAAAAGATAAGTTAGATATGAAACTTTAGATTCACAAATATAGGATTAATAGAATACTTTCTTTGAATTTGCCAAATATAAATAGACTAGATATTGTAACTGTAATTCTTGCTTGATAATAGTTTTGTTATATGTAATTTTACTAGGTTAAATTTAAAACTGTCCTTTTTGATTAGACAGAAAAGAGAAAGTGCTGTGGAATGTCTTTCTGTATGCTGTGAATATGTGTTGCTCTGATTGGTTGATAAATAAGCTGCATTGTTTTATGGCAGGGTAGGATGGAGCCAGGCGGGAAAATCCAGGAGAGATAGTGGCAAGAGAAAGGAGAGGAAGGAGCCACTGTCAGGCACTGGCAGGAGAAGCAAAATGTGAAAATACCAGTAAGCCATGGCCACATGTCAACTTATAGATTAATAGAAATGGGTTACAGCTAGATAGCAAAAAAATTGAGTCATAGGCCATACAGTTTGTAACTGATATAAGCTTCTGTATGTTACTTGGGCCTGAGTAGCTGCAGGACGGGCAGGATGCAGAAAAAATTCTAGCTATAGCTCTGGGCTCCAAACAACCTGCTCATGCACTAGGGATGTATCCTGATCCTACTGCCAGGAACCCCTTAAGCAGGACAAGCTAAACAACTGTCTTGCCTATGAAGAGGGCCTAGTCCAGTCCCATGGAATTTTACACAATTCTATATGAATCAAGCACTGTCCAAAATATGAAAGGATGCATGTTGCTCTACAAAGAATGACATAAACATGGTCCATATAAATAGAGGAACTCTTAGTATCAATGTAATATAATTTTATATCATAAAATAGACTTTTGAAGGTTTTAATGTCATTAATGAATATATGGTAAAGTGTGTATGTATGTGTGTGAGACATTGAAAAGGTAGTAACATTTAACTGTATTCAAATAAATATAACTTCATAGTTTAGAACATCTGGAAAAATGACATATAATTAAACATCAGATGTACATTTTCTATTGTTTCAAATCTATTATCAATTTAGAAAATTTTAAAGAAAATTTTGAGTGTATTCCAATATTCCTGTCTATATTACTTATTTTGAAAATTAGCAATTCTTTTAACTTTTTATCATTGGGAAATGTATTGTATTTTTCTATGTAGTTTTTACATCTGTAGTGCAATCCATTTTTGTTCTTGTGCCCACAAATGCCAAATCATGCTGATGGCAGTTCTTCTGTATTTGTTTTTATTTTTTAGATATCCTTTTTTGACATTAAAATATAATTATATCATTCCCCCATGTCCTAGTAAGGGTTTCTACTGCTGTGAAGAGACACCATGACCACTATAACTCTTATAAAGAAAAACATTTGATTGGAGTAGCTTGTTTACGGGTCAGATGTTAAATCCATTATCATCATTGTAGTACATGTGGCATGTAGGCGAACATGGTGCTGAGTAGTAGGTTAGAGTCTTACATCTTGCAGGAAACAGGAAGTGGCCTGTCACACTTAGTGGTGTGTTGAGCATATATGAGACCTCAAAGCCCACTTCTACAATGACACACTTCCTTCTACAAGACCACACCTACTCCATAAGGTCATACCTCCTAATAGTGTCACTCCCTATGAGCTTATGGGGGCCAATTACACCCAAATTTTCACACCCCTCTTCCCTTTCCTTGCTCTAACCCCTTCCATGTCCCTGTTCCCCATACCCTGTTCTTGCTCACATTCATGAACTCTTTTTCTTTAATGATGACTGATACACACACAAATAAATATATAACTAAAACTTGATTAGTTTATTTGTTTTTTTGTATGTATATGATTTGTTGTTGGATAACTAATCAAGTGGGCTCATCCATGAGAAAGACTAAGGCTCCCTTTCTTAGATATTGTTAGTTCAGTAAACTCACTGTTTTACCACAATTGACTTGGATTGAATCCTTTCTTCATTTTTTATACATTTCCTGTAATAAATAGTAATTTGTTCATATCTCCCAAGAAAAGTTACATTACAGAGTATATTTTAACAAATTTAGGGATCATCATAGTCAAAGTCAAAATTAGGAAGTATGTCCAAAGCAATAACAAGTAATAACTGGATATAAACTAATCAATTTGAGCAACAAGAGAAATTGGAAAAAATTGTATGCTAAGACAATTGACTGATACTCTCCAAGTGCTGGATAATGTTACTATAAACCAAATTCTTAGCTAAAATTTTGCTGTTGGGTCCCCAAATTCTGTGACAATTTTTTTTAGCTTTAAGATATA